GTTTGTGTACTGTTTTGGCTTCAATTTTTTTAGATATAAACTTATGTAACTAATGAAGCTATCTATATTCGATATGGTATCCAAAAACCAATGAAGAGAATATTAGCTCACTCAAGTGTTATCTTTTATATAAAAGAGAGCAAAACATCAACCCRAACATACAGAAAATTGAGAATTTAATAAGTGTTAATACAACATATAAGCTTATAGGACATACGGTAGTTACTGAATATACAGATTATAGGCTTAACTTATAAAATAATCAGCAACATTTGTTTGTAAATTTATGGTAATTACCTGAGAGTCTTGAAAGTGTTGTTGCTGCTGCTGTCCCTGTTGTTCGTGAGGTGTTGCATGTTGCTGTTGCTGCTTTTGTTGTTCTTGTTATGTTGTCGTGTGTTGTCGTGTAGTTCTTGTAGTTGAATGGGATTTTTGCAATTATAGAGTTTGTAAAGAGCTATTATTATCTTGTGAGTTTTTTTTTTTTTTTTAATCACTTCCGGTGGCGCAATTTTTTCTTCAAAAACGCGCGTAGACATATGCATCCATTAAATGCTGCTGATTATCTCGAAAACAAGCTCGGCACACCTCTTTTTTCTTTTCATATTTGAAATCAGCAATATATTTCCCTTAAACAATATCGTATTTAAATTTTTTTAGAATTATAACCAAAAGTAGTCAGTCACCTTATGGGATATTATTACGACCTTTATTTTTTATCGCCTATTGGTTACAGAATTTTTGTTGCTACATCATAAAGATTATCTGATACCMCTTCCCCTCCCCTAAAAGCAATATCCTTTTTTAGTCAAGCAATTTGGATATTTAACAAATTAAGAGTAAAAGCAAATAAGAAAAAAAAAAAACATTCTTATCTTCATCGGCAACCATTTTCTGCTGGTCTAATTWCAAACTGTAAAAAGTAAAAATGTTTTCAGCACAAACTACTGAGTCGGAAAATAACTCTTAAAGTATAGGTAATCGTATGGGGAGGAGTAAAATTAAGGATTAATTAACACAAGTGAAATTAATCCTTATAATTTTACGAGGAACCATACGATTACCCGTTTATCATATATAGGGCAAAATTCTACGAAAAAAAATCCGTCTTGAAACAAATATAATGCCCGTGCGTTGTCATTTATTCTGAACTACAAATCAAATGTAGTTATGAGTCAAAAGAATTTTATTCAGAATTCAAACGTGTTTCTTTTTTACATCTGCACTCTTCTATCAAACTTTGGACAATAATACTTCAAGGTTTTCTCCTTTACAAAAAAGTATTATAGATTACTGAGTTTAAACAATAATTATTTGGCAAGTTTCCCTTGGATCCCAATGAATGAACTGTTAAATCTTGAAAAAAATAGTGCTTCACCGAAAGAATGGCAAACGTATTTAATATCCCGTCAAAACCCATAAAAACATGCATAAAACTAGATTCCTTCCAACAAAATTCTTAATCTGAATCAGAGTCTAAAGGAAGAAGCCAATTAAAGTGGCGTTTTAAGTCCAGACCAAGATGATTGTGCTGAAATATTGCCAGCGATGGCGTTCAAAGTCACATTTGGAGGAGGTGAAGCTGTACACATTTAGGACTACTTTAGTAGCCTTTTTCGAGGCCCATTTACGGGAAAAAATTATCCAAACACCTGTACTCTTTCCAGTGTTCTCATTTTCGCTGGAAATTTTTAGTTTTCTTATCGTTTGCCAATGCAAAACGGGAAGCCATTTTGAAAAAGAAAAGTTTGCAGTTTATGAGTGTTGCTAAGCAACTGAACTACCAATCATTTTCTAGTAACTAGCATCGAGTAATTTTGCCCCGTATTTGATCTTTCCTGTATGACAACAAAAGTTCTGACCAACAGTAGTTTCGATTTTTATGAGTAAATGTTAAATCGTTTGATAAAATAAAGAGATATTTACAGTCGGTTCTCAGCTGCAGAAGTCTTTCAATTAACTGTCGTCATAGAATGGGTGAGTCATTACTGCTTAGGACAACCTCAAAAAGTTATTAATATGATGAAAATTGCTCCTTGTTGATCATAGAACAGGTGGAATTTCTTTATTAGTGCATAAATATACATAAAGACATTTGAAAACCGTCAATAACCAAATTGAGCCAGCACATAACCAGTATCGACTCAAAAGGCAAAGAAAAACTATAGTTCAGTGTACGTATTTTTTTAAATGTTGTTTTTCAGTTGTTTCTAAACGGAATATCTCAGTCCGGCCAGTTGTTGTTTGACTAGATGAGTAAAAGTGTGTTTGAGTACGTATTCATTTGTATTCGTAAAACTATTTTGAACTTGATAAGGCAGTCAATAAATGGAATCAGGATTTAGAACTAGTTAAAATTTGAAGAGGGGGGAAAAAAAAACGAGAAACGGGATTTTTAAAAAAACGTTCAGCCGACTTGAATTATGACGCGCCAAGCCCGGGAAGAAATGAGGGTATCAATGATCATCAAAAAGCAGTAAGGTTATTCAACGTCCTTAAATAAATGCGAGTCTTTTACGCCATTTTTATCAACCAGTGTTTACCGGCTTGAGAATATTAAAAACATTGTCCTTATTTCTGATTGATAACCTTATTTCTTTAAGAAACAAACATAGAAACATACATGCAACTGGATTCAGGTTTTTTTTTTGGTCTTGCTGGGAAAATAAGTTAACTTCCCTTTCTATTTCACATTTAATTACACACATTTTCGGTTTTTCTTTGCTGGTTAAAAAAAGACTATCATATGCTATTTTAATTATGAGTGACAGAATTCATGGTCTATATGAGGCTGTACTATAAAACCTCTCCTGGTCCACTCTTCAATCTCAAGTGAATTTATTGTAATATCATATTAACTTCTTTGATAGGTTATCATCAATATCTAACATGTACTTTCAAATGTTTAGACCTCACTAGACTTCAAAACCCATACCCCAGCAGCGTTCGTATAAAATTATTTGTTTTTTGGGGGGTTTTCTCTCATTACCGTTAAATTGTCTAGTTTCCGAATTCACAGGAAAATCCCCTTGCTTTAAGGTTAAAGCTTGAAAGCTCAGGCTGAACAATACCGTTATTAATGGTCARCGGTCTCTCAATGGCAGGTGTTACTGGTGTATGTTCGTCCAGCTTGGTCAAAAAGAAAAGGGATAATTAAAGTCAGACGAGAAAACCGACGAGAATTGTCTTTTTATAATTACCTTCTCACATTACTGTCCAAACATTATTACTTATAAGAACTGCATAAAAGATTAACAACTTATCCCGACCATGAGTCATCATGCACCCTGCCCGTCCATGCACTGTCACAATGTCCATCAAAAACCTACAAAGAAAATTCTCGAGCTGCGACCTGCTAGTCATGTCAGCCATGTTTAAAACTTCAACCTGCAAACGGAAAACAAAGTTAAACATATTCCTAAAACAGCACCTGTTGGGTTGAAAAATCGCATTTATGCCGAGGAAAACATGAATGTGGGCGTCAGAGTGAATGAAGTTTATCGAGGAGTCTTTTATTTTCTTTAGTTACAGATGATTAGTGATCGCTGAATTCTACTTCTTGACTGCAATCCTTATCATTTTTAATAATATCGAAATATAATCTATTTTAGGACTACCTTCGCTCTACTGACCTTGCTTAGTCATTCACCCTTGTGAACGAAACTGACTACTTAAGAGTACCTAGCACTAATTATTACCGAAAAAGAGGTAAAATATGAGTTCGCTGTCAACTGACTGATATTCTATTAAGCCCACCTTTTACTTTTTTTTTTCATTATAAAAGAATCGATATGCTTCATTTTATCAACACCTGTTCAAGGTAAACGAATCATTGTCACTAAGGCTCACCATGCTATCATCTAATTTAGGTTTTTTTTCGTCCACTGGAAAATGCGAGCGAAATACTGACTAATGAATTTTCATTCGGTTTTGAGTACTTATTTAAAATTTTGAAACTGAAAAAAAAATCTTCATTTTTTTCCTCACTGCTTTAGTGTTATTATAAACCTAATTACCTACCTGGCTCGATTTAAGGCTTTAAAATATTTTTTTTTCATTGTTTTTCTTTTATTTTCTTCTGAAATCCTTTCTTTTGAGTCGTTTAAGAATTTTAGGTTCATGCCTTTGTCTTATTTAGCGTGCCATAATTTCATAAGAAGTTATAGTTGAAGTTTGGTCGTTATAGAGAAGAGGCTTACATCCAAAATATTAGCTACYCAGGAACTAGGAGGGTTTTTATCGTAGTTTATCAAGCCGCGAAAGAAGCTTCATTTACACTTATAGTTAGGACTTGAACTGATATTGTCCTTTTTTGGCGAGTATTGTTTCACTCTTTAATTGCCAAAGGTCATTATCTTTGAACAAGCCATCCTCAATCTTCTTATTATAATTTTATTTCCAGAAATAATTTTCCATTTATTTATTTTCATTCTGGTTTTCCTTATCTTCATTTTTTCCTTCTTTTTTATTTTTATTTTTTTACTACCATTTATTTTCTTTCTTTTTTATCCTCCTTTTCCTTTTTCTCTTTTTCACTTCCGAAAAAGGGAGGGGGGAGGGGGGGGGTTGAATGCTGCGAAGATTCAGTTCGTTAATTTATAATAACATATGTTGTCAGTCAACAAGTTGAAATATTTAATAGAGTTCTCTCGTTCATCCATCGATTTACTTATTCCTCTCAGGATCATTCTTTATTCCTTACTTTCATTCTCCCTCATCCCACAGTAGCAGGTTCTAGATACCTACTCTTTGTTTACAAAAGGAAYTATGAGTGCTGTCAAAGTGACCTAGCTGTCAAAACAGCTGGCTCAGTAGAGAATCCCTAATGTTTACATCTTAAGTGACAACCCTACGCTATCAATATCAATTTTAGACTTAAAGCAGTAGTCAATCAGTAGCCAAGCTATGATATCGATGTGTAATAATACAGAAAATTTATAAAGGGATTTGCAGTGGTACAGACAAGACACCTTTAGCTACATAAGAGAAATTGCACAAGATGAAGATGAAATCGTTTTTAGTAACATGTATTGTTATTGTTGTCTTGCTGATCGAGTTACCTCAAGGACAAGCCTTCTTAAGAACGAGGACTTCCAAAAAAGTAGGTTATGGCTTTAAATAGTATTTCTTTTTTTATTTCATTTTTCTTTATCCCTTGTCGTTCTTAGTCATCGATCCCTTTTATGCGTGATTGCGTATGTTTTACTCTTTGAGATCTTTCTTTCTTTCTTCC